AAATCTGTACATCTCGACTTCTCGCATACTCGTATACCAAAAGAAGTCACGGAAAGCGTCGTATGCTATCAAGAGATAATCTTGATCGGTTCCATAAGCTTTGGACATTTTGGCCAGGACCGTAAAAGGTGAATGCTGGAAAGATCTTTGCCCAGCAATGGAGCACTATAATCTATAACTGACTGATTGATTAACCAAGTAATAATAGAATAATAATAGAAGTAATAATAGAATTGTTTGTAAATTTCATACGGAACGGTGACATAACTTGTCTAAATATTCTTATTGTAGGTATTGCTTAAATAATCTATGTTTATTTAGTATTAACTTCCTCGTAGTTTTGCAATAATGATCGATGGTCACAGCACAACTCGCGTTATGTGACCGTGACCCGGTGCGCATCGTATTTTCAACAAACATCTAAAATAAAGTACACACATATATAACCATGAGTCCGCATTGTACAGGTACTTTAGTGTATTATGTTACCATACAGTATAATATATGTCGCCGAAAAATGAGAATACAAGAGTTTTTGTGAAATACTAACACAAACCACGAAATCGTAGATGTCGATATTACGAATATAAAGATCTACGAATATTAATATTGTTTAACCGAAGCAAAAAGAGCCTATATAATTTTCCATAGCAAATTTCCTAATGATTGATTAAACTATTAAGACGCCAAGTGGTCCCAAATAAACAAACTTACTTTCACATTTATAATTCAAGTTTTTATTTGCGACTATGTCCTTACGGCCCAAATATATTGATTGACGAGAATAAAATTTAGCTTTTGACCTTCTTCATCACATATAGTATGTATATGTTAAATTTTATAAATAAATAAACAACAAACTCATTTTCATGTTAAGGTACAGATAGAATAAGGTCTTACTCTCTATGTGACCACAATTTATCAGTAAAAAAACTGTTGGGCGTTGTATGTATACGAAAGGTATTAAATAAAAATTAATAATATCAGGGATCTTAATTAGACCAACACAAACCAAAACAATTTTTTTTAATTCTTTTTTTTGTCTGTACAAACAGAAAGAACCTGTAGACAGACAAACATCTGTAACATACAAAAACTAGTGCACCAAATTAGATGCGGTTTTCGCAGTTATATTTCTAAAGGACTAACTTAAAATCTGGTGTATATTTTATCTTCAGACGCCATCTACAAATGGATTACTTCATTGATTTTGCAATTTCGGAAACCATGTATATATAAATATATAGTTTTTTCTATATGCAACTTAGAATAGATAACAAGTTGACGGCCCACCTGATGGAAAGTGATAGCCATCGTCATAAATATAAGCAGTACCATGGACATAACAGAGTACTATTACGCCTAAGATACCCATTCCTGAGGACTAAGGTATTATGCATCTGTACCCTGTAATTTTATTGCCATATCCCATCCTTTAAACCGAAACACAGCTATGCAAATAAATGCATTGCTTCATGGTTCAAACACGAATGGGCCAGAGGTACCCGTGCAAATTACTTTTGTACAAACGGGCAAAATGCAAATACAGTAGTATAGCTACTGTATATATATATATATATATATATATATATATATATATATATATATATATATATATATATATATATATATATATATATATATATATATATATATTAAATTATTACTTATTCCAAAATCAAGAAACAAACCACACTTAAACTTATTTTGTCTCCATTTAATCAATATTATTTCATTAAACATAAATAAACATAAAATTTTAATGCAATTTTGAATTCGTGGTGTTAATTGAATACTAGTAGATATCAAAACAAACCCGACAAACAAACATTAAAGTTTCCGTTAGATATTGCTCTGGTTTACACAGAAATAAGAATAACAATTTGTTAAAAATAATTTACTTGAAATTAAACGTACTGTGTATCTAAAGGAAAAAGAAAACGAAATCGACGCCTGGTCGGGCATAAGTAACAAATCAAAATGACAGTTGAGAGAAAAATTAATCAACCCGAAGACCCGTTAGTCGCGAATGCTCTAGAAGTTACATTACTGGGTCTTGGTTTTTTCCAGTGCGCTTATATATACGGCACTGCACGTATAAAAATTTATAAACATTTTAATACTTTATCAGCATAAAATGATTGACAATTAAAGCGTTCAATTAATATACATATATGTTTATGTAGTTATATATATTACAATTAGTGAAGTACGTTTTTTTTTGATGGGTGAAAATGGTATGGTAACCCCGCCTGCGCTAACGGGATACGCTGGCGGAGCACCAGTGAAGGGTGATAGATGAGAATGAAAACAGGCCAGTTAGCCCATCTTGATGAATTCATCAGGAATTAACCATGATAGTTTCCAAGGAGAAATGCGAGGAGGTCGACCTGGTTGGGTATATTGCTAGCAATGGGATTCTCAGTCTCCATTACTAACAATCCCTTTCTCCCCAGTGAAGTACGTCACGTACGTAAGTTGCTGTTTGGTTCCAGTATAAAATGAGTCACTCCTTGCTTTCCGTGGGTGTCGTAAGTGGCGACTAAGGTAATATAATGGTCCAGAGATGGGCAGCAGCATTCCTCATTATACGTCACCAAAGCCTAATTGCGATTACCAACCCGCTTGTCAAGCGTGGCAACTACTGGCAAAACTTCCCTTATGAAGGAGGCTTATCTTTAGCAGCGGACAGTTAACGGTTAATATAATAATAATAATATATATTATATGTTCAATGGTATTTGTGCTTGTAGATTGTTGTCGTCGTGGTGAATGTGATATAACACACCATATGCTCTCTTTTCACCGAATATATCGTCATAGTCGTAGAATACTGACGGATCTGACAAATATTACATATATAGATCCGTCAGTATTCTACGACTATGACGATATAAGTATAAAATTATTGAGATTGACTTTATTATGGGAATTTTCCATCACTGGTGAATCAGAAATTTAAATATGTAGATACACAGAATTTTCGATTTCAGCCCGACTCTGACTCTAAGTAAGAACTTAACGTAAATGTAAATAACCCGTCACTATAGATATATGTTGAATATTGCAAAGAAATTAGCGAACACTTGTACAATGAAACTTATTATACACGAACGTATTGCTAAATTTTTCAAACATATTTATTAATATTACTACAATGTATCACTAACTTAAAATGTACATTTATATCTCTATATGTATTTAAAAAACGAATGAAGTTTCATACCTCCAGTCAAACTACATATTTATATTTATTCTTCTGCAATTACCTGAAAGAGATCGCTCTTAGTTTTGTTTTAGTTTTCTCAGTGTAATATTTTCAGTGTTTCTTTTTCAGTAATTGTTTGTATTTATAATAAGTTTACTATTATAACTTTATGGATAAAACAATAAAGAGTATTTCTATCTATTGTACTTTTATTAACTTCGATGACAATCTTAAAAAAAATAGGTACCACCATTAATTCTTTTAAGTACGTTATTAAAGTAAAGTGTAAAAATACACTTTGATTCATTACCATAAGGAAAAAACCTTTCTATCAGCGTTCGGCCTCTCAATATTTAAAAAATCTATTCCAAGAAGAGGCAATAATATTAAATTATACACGCAAATGGCCCTACCACGACCTTTTAAAACAAAACACACGTACATATTTTTTATAACCAATATTTGACCTTACTACGTCTTAAAAGAAGCAATCGTGGACCAAATATCTACTATAATGTGTCCGCTCTAGTTGATACTAGATAAATACATCAAGGGAAGAGGCAGATATGTGACAAAATGATCGGCCATCACGCAGCCTGTTAATAGAGTATTGGCATTGTGCCGAACGCATTGTGACAGAGCAGACTGATGACCCCACTGCACACACAATAACAATTCAATGCGGAGATCACAAGCCACCGGAATATGTCCTTACACACCTATTACATCGTCAATAGCACGATACACACAGACACGTGTGTATAATATAAGGCTGCAAGAATAATATTTACGTGTAGCGTATTAAGATGCTTAAAAACCTCTCCGAGGCCAACAAACTTACCATCTGCCTGAATTTACAGAAAATTAATATAGTTTAATTTTCAGATTTCAGATTCAGCTGAGAATACATAGTCAAAATTGCTAAAGCTAGAAGTCTAAAATATTGCACAGGCGTGAGGTAATTTAACATATGGTTTAAAAAGAATTTCTTGAAAATCTGTGTAACTGAAAATATAAGTACAAATACATTTTGCACAGGAAAAAACCGTTACCTGGTTTCTTCTAAATTTCTTAAAAAAAAAGAGCTTGGGCTTAAAATAATACTCTTTAATAAGCTATAATTTAAGTCTATTATCATAAGATTCTTTAATAAAATGATCTGATGAATAGACATATTTTTCAATAAAATCTGCAATCAACGAATATCACTCTCTAATGTATTAAAGCATACAAATATTTTAATTTTGTATAACGCATTGTAATAAATGTATATATTATTCAACTATTGCAAGAATGAATGAAATACTCCACTACTGTGATTACTTACATACAGACGTCATAGTGAAATAATGCCTTGTTTTCCTTAGATTTTTTCCTTTCAGAATTTTTTAATAAGCAATAATTCATTTTTATAAGGAATAATTAGACACATTAATGTGACAAAATAAATCAAAATCACGCTGTATGATTATATTATTATATACAATGTAAACATGTTATGAATACCCCAAGATTATTCTTGACTGCATTTTTTTTATACAAAATGAAATGGTAAACAATCTAACGGTCTGCCTAATGGAAAGCAGTAACCATTGTGTGAGTAATCCGAATAATATATAAATAAAATAAAATAAAATAAAATTAGATAACGATGGAAGCAGGCGAAGAAAAAACAATAGCGTACATATATTGTCATTGACAAAAAATAATAATAAAAAATACAAAGAGGTTTCACAACATACACCCCACCTTGCGCATACGCATTACTACAGCGCAATAACAAAATACAAAATTATATGTCAAGTCGATGAGGAAGTTTCACAGGACGACCAGAACGTGTAATCTTGGCTGGACAATTTTCAACCTCAACTTTAGAATCAATAACTTTATCATTTGATCCCGATGGCCGTGGAAACTGAATATCCTCTAATTGTGACACCTCTAGAGGGTATAAACGTTGCAAAGGTCGAAGACGTTCGCCTTTAGCCGTTTTAATACGAGCTACCCTACCAACGTTATCAACACCAGGACATATCTGTAAAATGAGACCCAAGGGCCAATTTACGCGTTTTAAATCATCTGAACCAATAAGTACAATATCTCCAGGTTTCAGATTGTTCTTATTTTTGCCATACTTTTGCGTTAATAACGATAAATATTCTGATCTAAATCTTTGTTTTAAATCCCTATTGATTTTTTCAATATAACGATAACGAGTAGCAAGATTAGATGAATAAGCTTGGTCTAAATCACTTGTATAAGTACTGCCTACCTTAAGAAACATTGCAGGAGTAAGAGCTGTAAAATTTTCAGTGCTGTCTGCTATGTAAGTTAAAGGACGTGAATTAATAAGTGCTTCTGTTTCGCACAGTACAGTCATCAATTCTTTTTCTAATAGAGCAGCTTTACCTAAAACTCTTCTCAGAATTTCTTTAATAGTACGAATCATTCGCTCCCACCATCCACCCCACCATGGCGCTTGTGGTGGAATAAAGTGCCATGATATCTTTTGAACTGAGGTTTTGAAAGAAACGTCGTCCCAATTAATTGAATTTAAGACATTATTCGCTCCTCGAAAATTAGTAGCGTTATCGCTGTATATAATCCTAGGCCTACCTCTTCGTGCAATAAAACGTCTTAACGTCAACAGGAACTCTTCAGTACTAAGTGAAGAGCATATTTCCAGATGTAAGGCTCTGTAAGTAGCACAAGTAAAGACTACTATCCAGCACTTCTGATTAGATTTGAGATATACTGGTCCTGCTAGATCTATACCCGTTACTTCAAATGGTACTCCACAAGTTACACGTTCTGCAGGTAATGGAGCGAAAGGTACAGTACTAGCCTTAGCATTATATCGTTTACATATAATACAATCTCGTACAACATTTTTTGCTAACCTTCTGACACCAACTATCCAATACTCTTCTCGTAAGTTATTTATAAGAGTTTGTGTTCCAGCGTGAAGACTATGAACATGTTTATATCGAACGAGTCGCCTCACTATTACATTTGTGCTAGGCAGTAATATCGGAGTTATAAAACTCTCAGTGTCACCACTTAGTGTCAATCTAGTTTTTACACGAATAACATCTTGACTATCTTGAAAAATATCCATTTTGAGTCTTAATTTTATCTCATCAAAACTTTCATAAGACTCCTTTTGTATTATTGACATCAATCGAGTTTCTGCTCTTTCATACTCTTCAGCAGTAATATCTTTATAACTTCTATACTGTCGATAGAACTTGGAAAATCTCAAGCACCATGCAACGGTTCTAACAATTTTTGAATACTTCCCAAAATGAAGAAGTCTGTCAGAAAATTTGGTACCTTCTTGCACAGTTAAACAGCTTTTCTTTACTTCCTTGTTGACTTCATTTTCATCTGGAGCAACATCAGAATTGGGCCACGCTGATTGTGAATTATGAAGCCAAGCTGGACCCTCCCACCATCGACTTTTCAATAAATTTTGAGCATTGCATCCTCTTGATGGAAGATCAGCTGGGTTAAGTTCACCAGGTACATGACGCCAAGCATCTCTGTTACTTCTTTCTGTAATCTCTTTCACTCTATTGTGAACAAAAACATTTAGACCTGATTGCCGTCTTATCCATGCTAACACAATGCTAGAATCAGTCCAGTAGTATTCTTTGCAATTCAGCTGCAATGAAAATTTGGCTTCTGTAGCCAATCGTGTGGCTAACAAAGCTGCAATTAATTCAAGTCTCGGCATTGTAACTGGTTTCAATGGAGTAACTCTACTTTTAGCAAGAACAAGTTGTACTGTTACCATATTATCATGTTCCGATCGCAGAAAGACGCATCCAGAATAAGCGTATTGGCTTGCATCACTAAAAACATGAATGGTGTTATTGCTACCAGATAAATTTGATACACTCAATCTTCTTGGAATACGACATTTTTCAATAGCATTTACATGATGAAGCCATTCTCTTGCTGATTTTCCCAATTCTAAGGTAAGTTCTTTGTCCCAGTCCATAGACTTTTCCCAGCACTTTTGTATTAATAGTTTCGGTATCAGTGTGGTAGGACAGAGAAACCCGATTGGATCGAAAATACTTTGCGCCATTGATAACAATGTCCTTTTTGTAAGCTTATCTGTAACTTGTTTGAAAAAAGGAACTTTACAATAGAATTTATCATTTTGAGCATCCCAAGTAACTCCTAATACAGAGGTATCTGCTTGATTTTTATCTAAAGTAGGGCCAGTCACCCAACATCTTAATTCAAACTTACCTTCGTTCATTATGTGCAAAGCTTCATTCATGAATTTTTTCATTTCAGCTTCATTGTTAACACTGACTACACAATTATCAACATAAAAGCTCTTTCTCAATTGACTGGCAGTATCGCCTACATATTTCTCGAGGTGGTATAGAATAGTAGCTGATAGAAGGTATGGACTCGTTTTAACACCAAACACTACACGACGGTGTCTAAAAACTTTTAATTTTCTATCTGAGCTGCTAGGGTTGTCCCACCATAAAAATTTGAGAAACTTGCGATCATTTGGATGGATAGATATTTGTAAAAAGGCCTTTTTTATATCGGCGATAATACCTATCTTGCCTTTTCTAAATTGAATAAGTAATTTTGGTATTAATTCTATAAGATTGCTTCCTTTTTCTAGACAAGAATTAAGACTGACACCTTCTTTAGTCGTAGCAGATGCATCAAACACAGGGCGAATTTTAGTCGTAAGGCTAGATTCTTTAACAACAGCGTGATGAGGCAAATAATGTCCGGTTTGAATATTATCACCCATAACCTCCTCAATTATGTTACTATTTAACCATTCGTTGAACACCTCATCATAAGCGTTCAATAAGCCTAATTTTGTAAGCTTATTAGTAGTTGAGTGAAGACGTTTTATTGCTAAATTAAAGTTAGAAGATAAAATGTCTGCTGTATCCTTCCATGGTAAACTAATTTCATACCTATTCTCACCATTTATGTTTACAGTTTCTCTAAAAAAATTCTCAACTTCTTCCTCACGCTTCCGAGAACTTTTAACCTGCGCCTCATCTTTTATACCTATTGATTCAAGTTTCCACAGGTCATCAATATCAAATGAACAAGCGTGTATTGAAGTAAAATTACAATACGTACCAGAAGTAGGTCCCTGAATTACCCAACCAAATTTTGTCTCGATCGCCACCAAATTGTCACTTACATGTTCTGATCGCCCAGTGTACAACGAACCTACAACATCAGAACCAATTAGTAAAGAAATCTCTGTCACTTCATTAATACAATCAGTGATGTCAATACCTTTATCCTGTAGTTGTGACAAAAGTGAGCCTGACTTTATCTTTGGCAAATTATCGCATATTTTCCTCTGCTCAAGTGCCTCTATTTGAATTTCATACTTACTATTGAGGCTTTTGCAATTTAATATAAATAATCTATTTTTTAATTTAGTCACTACTCCGCCGAACAAATTGTGCCTTAAGTGTTCATTACCTGTAGGTTTAATATTCAATTTCTCGATTGCATCTGACCTTATAAAAGAGCGTTGAGCACCTGAATCCAAAAGGGCTCTCACTGTAATGGTTTTCTCTTTGTATACTAAATTTAGTTTGACAGTTTGCAATAAAACTGTACTCGGTTTTATAGACTGTTTAAGTACTTGATCTTCTGCCTTCTTTGAAATCTTAGGTAATTCGGCACACATAATGGGATAATGTCTTTTTTCACAAACAATGCATTTGGGATATTTTCTACATTTTTTTGCATGATGTCCAATTTTTAGACATATCAAACATGTATTCTTCTTTTTCAGAAAATCTTTCTTTTCTTCTAAATCCCATTTAATAGGCCTTTTACATTCAGAACTATTATGCGTGGGTTTATCGCACCATACACATTCTCTTATTTCATTTTTAGTATGCACGACATTTTTCTCTTTGTTTCTGACAGCTGTACTTAAAAAACTTGCTGACGGAATTACAGGATTTGGATCCACGCTAGAAAAACCTCCTCGTGATAAATTAATTTTTTCTTCAGATTCAACTTCCTTACGAACAAAATGTAACAATTGTGTCAGCTGACTCTTTTCTTTATCGTTAGTCGCGACGTTCGCCTGACATCTGTTCCATGCGCGTAATATGTCTTCCGGCAGTGCAGATTCCACCATTGGAAATAAAAAGGCGGCATACTTATCTTGCGTCACGCCGAGAGATTCTAAAGCAAGAATCTGAGTCATTAGTTTATCATATAGGATACGAGTGGCCATCTTAGAATTATCGTTCCTTTGGACGATTGTTAACTTTAAGAGTTCTCTAACGTAATATTCTATTATAAGTTCATCTTTTCCATACCTTTGTTTGAGCTGTTGCATTACCTTTGGGTAGTTTTCTGCTGAGGGTGGAAAACTTTCCACTAACTCCCTGGCGTTACAACCTTTCTCAATACTTTGTAGGAGATATTGAAATTTATCTTCATCATCTATGTCGCTGTCGCAGTCAATCTTCTTGAACTGTGTCCAGAATGGAATCCAACTTTTTATCTCTTCGTTCAATAAAGTAAGCTGTAACTTCGGAAGACGAAAGTGGCGACGATGCCTTTGGGAAGTCTCTCCACTCTCACTATCTGCTTTAATTACAGTATCAGAGGCCGAAGAGCGGGCTACCGCAGGACTGCAGTTCTCGCTGACTTTGTGTTTCAACAAATAGAATTTACTGGTGTAAGCCTCGGACAGTTCTAAATCATCATCGAAAAAATTTTCGTCCCGTTCCTCCATGTTCAACCACAAATCCATTAATTTGTTTTGGAGGAATGTTAATTCGTCGAAAATTTTGGTGATATTTAATATTTCCGCGCTCATACCTGTTTTATCATTCTTCTCTAGAAAATCTTCTATACGTTTAGCACACATAGTAAAACGACGACGTACTACTTTTCTTGGTAATAATGCCTGTTCCATTTTTACGCTGATCACGGTCGCCAAAATGTGAGTAATCCGAATAATATATAAATAAAATAAAATAAAATAAAATTAGATAACGATGGAAGCAGGCGAAGAAAAAACAATAGCGTACATATATTGTCATTGACAAAAAATAATAATAAAAAATACAAAGAGGTTTCACAACACATTGCTTACAGACAATAACAGCTATACTGAGATCACAGAATATACTGTTAAGCCTGTTGTAGACCTAATGCGTTGCCAACCTCCTATCATTGTAACTTCATTGCCATATCACAACCTTAAAACCAAAATACAGCCATACAACCATAACAGCTACTTGATACCAGAAATACGAATTAGATATTGGTAGAAACCTATAAGACAACTTTTCTAGTCTTCCTCTGATAAATTGCTTTAATAAATAATTTTATTGCAGCTCTATAATTGCCTAGTTTTTTATTTCAATTCTAGCTTTTGTTCAATTAGTCTATGTCATAAATGTTACTAATGTAATTGAGCTCACCATTACTAAAAAGTATATCAAACATTGAAAGTCGATATTGCATAATTATTTGTTAATTCTATTCCATGGGCATTATTTTACATGTTGAGGTTTTTCAAAAAATTATATCAAACAATGATGTTTTATACTTTTGTAATATTAATTTTATAGAATACATTTTTACATGACTATTCTAAAGAATTATTTTAATGGATTATTATTCTTTTATATGTCACTACATTCTGTCAAATGTCAAAAATAAAATTCTAACTACTCCAAACTTCACTCCTGGGTGGGCTAATCTATGCCGTGTGGTTCCGGCACACAATAACCCACTCATTCGTTCTTCCACTCGTGGGTATCGTACGAGGCGACTAAAGGAACTTAAAGGTCAAGGGATGGGAAGCAGTATTCTTCTGAAAACATCACCAAAAGCCTAACTGCGGTTGCCAACCCGCCTGCAAGCGTAGTAACTATTAGCAAAATTCCCTTTATGGAGTAGGCCTATGTTCAGCAATAGACCGTTAACGGCTTATATAAATGTCTATATTGACTATTAAATAACGCCTTTAGGTGTTAAGTCAGCAATGTTAACTTTAGTTAGGTCAGTATATGAAAGTTAAATCATTAAATAAAACTAATAACAATAGTATTGTCCCCAAATTGTATGTGCGGCCAATGCAATAGTTATTTTGAAATCTTGAAAAGATTATTCATTAATCTGCCTGAAAACATACATATATATTTGCACTATGTAAAGTTTATTATATAAAGAACCTATCACTTATTTTTAATGCAATTTATCAACGAAAATTCTTTACTCTATACATTGTCTAGGCACTGTATAGAATACCTGACTTATACAGATTGCCAGTAACATATACAACAGTAATTCGTATGTATAAAAACATAGAGTATCGAAGGGAGTAAATAAAAGTCGAACCAGAAAAACCTACATCAGAATAAAATTTTGAGACATACTACATTGTAATTAATAACAAAACAAACAAAACGGCGACAGAAAGCATGCTGATCGTGCAGTGCTGCTCGCGATACAGCCGTGAACCATGCTCATAAATAAGGGTCCTATTGAGTTCGAAACTAGTCGAGCATCCCTGAATTTAAAACTGACGAGACATACTGCGTAACTAAAATCATATATACATATAATATTTCTTGGAACTATTAGTGTGTTTATATTTTTTTTATTTCACCGATAAGTTTAGGAATTTGCAGGTTTGAATTAATCCCATCTCATTGCACTGTAATTGTGTGAAGCATATAGTTATGCCATACCAGAGGTTTATGAATTTATTAAGAAATAAGAATTACGATTTAGTAACACCTTATAGACTCAATTACCTTCCGTAAACATTTAACTGATGCTGAGTTCCATTGCCCAGTTCTAATATTCTTAACTATTCTTAGTTCTTGATTTCCTATCATTATCATATATATCAAATATCTAGAAGATTAGGGGAAAGGAATTGTTAGTAATGAGATTTAACAGCTCAATTGCTAGCAATACACCCTATCAGATCGACCTCCACGCGATTCCCCCTGGGAACCATAGTGGTTAATTCTTGTTCAATTGATCACTATGGGCTAACTGACCTGCCTACATCCTCACCTATCATCTTTCACTGGTGCCCCGCCGGTGTATACCGATAGCGCAAGCGGGGTTACCATTCCTTCTTCACCAATTAAAAAAAATATCTAGGAGATTACTACAAGATTGTTATAAAGGTATAACTAAGTTGGTACTATACTGTATATATAACCTTCAGCGAAAGCAATTTGTTTCATTTTAAATGTAAGGTATGCTATTCCCATGAACAATAACACATCACCTATTAATAAGGCGCTTGTGAGCGATAAATCCATATTTACCTATTTTATATGGGAAAACATAGTAGGATAATTATAGGATACTAACAAGGATGTACTCTTGTTTTGACGCTCCTGGATCGTGTCTGTATAGGTGTCAATTACCAAATTTTTCAAGAATATGGTGGAATACATCAATGATCTATTCATATAGATGTAAGATAAGACAGATTAAGGTGGTGAACACTTTCTTTTTCATGCAGATGCATGAAAAAAGATATTGATTCTCTAACATAACATAACTCATCAAACTCATCATATATCATAAAAATTTTAATTCATTCATTAAATAATATTTTCTTCCTGATTCTAGATTATTTGAGCTAAAAATTCTCTGTTAATTTATATTTCAAACTGTCTTTTTTAATGTTAAAATTTATGACCGAATTCGAGATGGTTACATTCCAGGATGACAGCATCAACGAAGATGTTGTCTAAGTAGAGGCCAAACCAGACTCTGGTTTAACCATTCTTTTATAAAAACCGAGCAAGCGACTCGGCAGTCAGTCAATAGGAGGGAAGGTCAGCGCTCACTACGTATATTGCTATTAGGCGCTTTGCGCGTGCGCACTCGCCGGCTGCTGCACTGGTACCGCGGGCACGAAATTTCCAACAAAAATGTTGATTTTAACGTCTCATTGATTTAAAGTGTTATCAAAGGAAGCTCTAGGACACATTACCAATTAAGTTATTTTTTTTTAATATTTTTTTATATCACAACATAAAAAATGGTCAGTGGAAACAAGGATCCTAGTAAACCTAATAAAATACCACCTAGAAATCGTGAGAAGAAAAGCAACAATTACTTGCGTGCTAATTTTCTGTCGCGAATATGGTTCGTCTGGATGATGCCGACGTTCTGGCGAGGGTTCAAACGGGATCTGTACGACTCAGACCTAACAAAACCTAAGGAGAACCATCACTCTGATAAGCTCGGCGACCGTCTTGAAAAGTAAGTTACTATTATTTTTTTATATTTTGATGTATCTTCACAAACTAAACCTTTTACTTATTTATTGTAATTTGAATAAAATATTTAGATAATAATCAAGTACGCCAGTATTATTTTTATTTCTCAATTTTTATTGCTGCCCATATCTCATATTTAAATAAATCGGTTTTTATTGTTGCCCATATTTTAAATTTAAATAATACTTTTTTTACAATATTATTATAACAATGTAATTGTTACAATAATTTAAATATAATCTTTTTAACATTTATAACAAATATAAGTAAGATATTAAAAAAAAATTTAATAAGTTCACGAAATTTAATTATTTTTTTTCTTATTACATATAGTATTCACCCACCCTGTATATAGACCCTTTTTCGAATTCATTTCAGAACGTAATTTATATTCGTGCATACCTTGGCCTAATTTTAAATAATTTTTATGATATATCAGTACTTTTGTTCAAGACATATTCAAGAATTTCTTCAAGGTAGTTCACATCAACACGTAAATTTATATTAAATGATATTTTAGGCGCTCTCTGTTGTATGTATTATATCCATAAATGTGGTTTGTATTATAATATTATTTTGGTTTTTACATATTTGTAAGAACTGTCATCATATCAACCGTTAATCAACCTGCCCACGGCTGAACATAGGGTTCCCTTTATTGAGAAGTTTTACCGGCAATTGCCACGCTTGTCAAGCGGGTTAGCAACCACAGTTATGCTTTGATAATGTTTGAAGAGAAGCGCTGCTACCAACGGCGGTTGCCGTTATCCCTCATCCATTTAGTTCCCTTAGTCTTATGACTCCCACGGAAAAGGAAAGGGTGGCCCATTGTATACCGGGGCCACGTGGCCATTAAAAATTATATCTATGCCCAATTTAAAAACTGACTCAACAGGAAGTACACTTATTTTATAAAATGTGGTGAACATACATATTTGTGACAGCTTTCGTCTTTGAAATCGTATATTTATATTTACAAGTCTAGCCTTATTAAAATAAAAGTTGTAAGGATGGTAAAATGTACTCCAACACTAAAATCCGAATCATATATTTTTTTGCCAACTGTGCAGTTTTGTACGAATCCTTGTATTTAAATAAATATACCTACTTAAGGAGAGCTGCATATCACCGGCTTTCTTCGACTTCGCCTTGACACACTACCGCGTGTCTAGATTACTAAAAAGCAATCGTCTCAATTCTGAATTACAATTTGTTCTTCCCGTTTTAAATTAAGAGTAGTAAAATTTTCGTTACATTGTGGGTATTATTATTATCTCTTAATATAATTTTATATATATATAAAATAAAATTCAACTTATTCCGTGTAATAAAACTATCACACAACCACAGTTGAGATAGCTAAAATGGAAGCTACCATTGTGACATGCGTTTTCTCTAAACATACTAACTAGTACCTATACAAGTATAAGACATATAGCATTCATAACTAGTTTAACACATGTTATGACATACGTGAAATATGGTTTTTGAAAGTATAATGACACGATAATTATTACTACCAAAATACATGTTGTAAACAACATGTTTTGCGACATGTATTTTGGTATGAACATAATACATACGCATTGCTTTTCTTTTATTCCACTGAGGTGGTAAACAAGCATACGGCCCATTTAATGGTAAGCGGTTACCGTAGCCTATGAACGCCTGCAATACTAGGGGCATTACACACGACTCTTTACTTTACTCTACTCCTTTTTTGAAGAACCTCATGCTGTAGTCTCTTAAGAAAACCTCGACAAAAAGCTCATTCCATAACATCAACGTTCGTAGAAGTAAATATCTCTGAAACCGCGCTGTACGCGACCATCCAGGCTCTAAAGTATGGGATTAAATTTCCTGTCGATTATTTCACAAGCAGCGATGCAATATTACGTAAAGATGTAATAGTTTTCATAGCTGGTAAACAATCAGTATACAATTATATTACAGTATACAATACAATAAAAATGTCCATAGTATTGCCTACAGACTATTATTATTTCTTATCTGAGGCACCCGTAAATCCATATTATAAATAAATAAACGTGACAAGAAAACTACTATAGAGTATAGTTTTGATAGTCGCCATATTTATTTTATGGCTCATCATGTAGCTTATAGCTCTGCCATTAATTAAGATGAATCTAAAGAGACCTTAGTTATTAAAATTACATAAATGCCTTCAGGATTTATATCTAAACATACATACATAAACATTACCCTCCTTTTATAAGCAGTTGGCTACAAAATTCGCTTATCACTACCTCAAAAAGTATTGGACACAATTGTCGCTCTTGCCAAAGTCGTGCTTAATAAAATTCACATGTACATGTACGTATGTGATTTTACTACTAAGTGAATACATTTAAAACATTTATATTGTTATACAGTGGTGGATTCCGCAAACCAAGAATATAAATTACTAAAATAAGTCACGACTCTTCGTAAAATATATACTTGTCGTGGTTGATTGTGACACGTGATCATTATTATATAGATGGGAACGGGCTTCTGACTGCTAAAAGTAATAAGTTGACTGCTAGAACACACTTGTTCTTTTTTTTATACAATTTAGAATGGCAAACAAGCTGACAGCCCACCTGATGGAAAGTGGTAACCATTGCCTATAGACATGAGCAGTGCCATGGATATAACAGAGTATACTGTTTCGCCCATGATACCCCCCATGCGATGCCATTCCTGAGGACTCAGGTGTTATTCCTCTGTATCCTGTATATTCACGCTACTATATCCCACCCTTCAAACCGAAACACAGCCATACAAACACAACTGTTTCGCGGTAGAAACACGAATGGGACAGAGGTACCCAAGCAATCGACTTTTGTACAAAGGCTCTCTCTGGTGTTCCCTTTTTCTTACCAAAATGGTGGGAAGAGTTCAAACTGGCCATACTATCATGATGTGACACGTTGCTATACTAATTATGATTTTATTTAAATAATCTTTTGTATTATGGGAGCAGTCATAATTATTAAAGTACCATATAAATGTTGTTAAAATTGAAGTCTGATTTTTTTCCAAAAATTATTAATACCGCAATTCTACTTCTAACTAATTTATATATAAAAATACAACGACATTTAACTAAAGAACAATTGGGCATTTTTCTATGTAATTAGATATTTTTAGTGTTTCCTAGCAAAAAAAAACATAGCCGTCCATTATAAATTCATCATATTATTCTAGCCATCTGTTTTTATTGTACAATATAATCACAGATATGCATTAAAATAGATATCGCAAATATGTATACTTTGCGTATCAAATTTTGGGTTTAATACCCATATAGGCTAACTAGAGCCTCGAATTGATCTCAGCAAAATTTTATTCTTACATAAATTTCATATTTATATCTCAACAAAAAAAAAAGAATCAACTAAAACAGCGTTACAGTTAGTATTTTCGAAAAGGTTTATCGGTAGTATAGAGAGTTTTGCCTACATTTAAAAATATTTTAAAACGCATAACCGTTCCTTCAACAATTCTAGTTTATAACACCGGTAGATGATTAAGATATAAAAAATAGGTTTCAAAATATTTTGACCACTGAGAATGTTAACTTTAATATTTGTTTATTTGTTTGTTTATTTGTTTGCCTCTCTAATACTTAAAAGAATTGATAAACTAATCATCATAAAATTTAACATAGGTAGGTACTTATACATGTACATATTTTGTATGAAAGGAAGACATTTAATACAGTTAATCAATGTACCTCGATCACGCAAACACAATCGCAGAAACAGCTATAGTAGAGAAAATTAATGTTTTATAACTTATCACTATAGTTAATACACAGTTTTTTTTGACTTTTTTTTACCAGAGGGAGACTTTGTACAAAAGTTGATTGCTTGGGTATCTCTGTCCCATTCGTGTTTCAACTGTGAAGCAGTTGTGTTTGCATAGCTGTGTTTCGGTTTGAAGGGTGGGATATGGCATGAATTTACAGGGTACAGAGGAATAACACCTGAGTCCTCAGGAATGGCAACGCATGGGGGGTATCACGGGCGAAACAGTATGTGTGTGTACTGTTATGTCCATGATACTGCTCATGTCTATAGGCGACGGTTACCACTTTCCATCAGGTGGGCCGTCAGCTCGTTTGCCATTCTAAGTTGTATAAAAAAAAATCATAATCCTACGCGCCGTCTTCTTCTATAATATAAGTGATTTAAATTTCATATAGTGAAAAATTAAAATTAGCGGATACATTTGATAAGTACAAACCGTGCAAGTGATTGTGTCGGATCAAATTACTAATTTGTAAATACAGATATTGTTAGATTTTTATATGCATTACTATTTACATATTTTTTACCATGATCATGCTCGAAATATAAATCATAATTAATTAACTAATAATAATTAATGAGTTAAATTATTACGACGCGTGTTTAAATATTTATAAAAAAATGTATCTACTAATACACGTATAAAGGGTAAAATCAAATTTGAAGAAATTTAAATTATTTGTGAAATTTTACCAAAAAAAAAACCACACAAAAACATTTTTTACCAAAGAAACATGACGCAAAAAATAAAAAAAAATATTTTTAGTCTATTATAAGTACTACACATACGCGTTCTGCTATCAAATTAGTTAGTTCAATTTTTATTTTATTGGGAACAATGTTTACGTATTCCAGTAGAACACTCTCTTATGCTGATAATGTAGATTTTTAAATCTTAAGCTATATATAGGTATTTGTAAGACACCTATAATATTTCGTATATTATATACATTTACATACATAAACTTACTACAGTAAGCTATAACTTTGTATCATCTTATAGTAGATGTTTTGGCTATATGACTTGGTCTGATTTAATCAGATAAATATCCAAGTCACGTAGGCACTGTTATATATATATAAAAAATTATATAGTAATGACGCCATTATTATACTATTTACCTACTTTATATTTTATTCTACTATACAATTTTCAGTATTTTATATTTCAAAATTGTAGACAAATATCTACCTCATATATTATTAACATTCAGTAATAAAAAGAGACTATCTAGCAATTCGTCTGTATTTTTGTATAAAATTTATATCATAATTGCTTAATTTGCTATCCAGTGTTGGATTTTTTTATATCAAGGTCGGAGTTTGTCCTGAAATCAATCTAGTGATAGGATCGATGGAAAATCTTTCACCCTTACTATTTTTTTGTCTTGCGTACGCAGTCTTAATCCCCACATTAATGTTTTAGCCCTATTTGAAGCTCCAAATTAGCTTAGTCCTACCACTTCATATATCAGAATGTTTGTGTGGATGAATGTATATATGTTACTCTTTCATGCAAAAACCATTGAATAGATTTGAATGAAATTGTATACACGGAAAGGTCATATCCTAACTTAAAATGTAGGATACTTTCATCTCATTTAAACTCCTAAATTTTATTATAAAGTAACATAATGACTATAAACAATATTCAGTTTTTTATGATATACAAATCCTAAATTATGAATTAGATATAAATATAATTTAAACAAGACTGCCCGCAAAATAATAAATTTATTTATTTACAGATTACCACTTGTTTGCAAGTACCTATACTTTTACCTTTTGTTTTAATTTCAGCTTCCTATAATAAAATTTAGTTCAAAATACTAAAGAAAATAGTAGAATGTAGATATATATAGAAGTTTATACTCGTAACACTGCTTTTATCATTGCGTAGAAATGAAATTCTTAAATTCAATTAAATATGTGTCTATTAATTGTAGGATTCTTTATATTCACATGTCAATAGTTGTACCAGAAGAGGGAAGAAATAAAATCGATTAGTTGTGAGTTCAACTCGCACGTTGTCATTTATGTCTTATTTATACATTTATTTATTTATTTATTTATTGGAAAACCAACAGCTTACAATTTATAGCTTAAAACAATAACAAATTATCCATATAAAAAGCCAATAACAGGTTTTCACTGACTTAGCGATATAAATTTGTCGTGGCTAGAGTAATTATAAAATTTAGAAGGAAATAAAAATAAAAAACTACACTATAGTATATCATAACAATAGTTACTAGATTGTGTGTGTGTGTGTGTGTGTGTGTGTGTGTGTGTGTGTGTGTGTGTGTGTGTGTGTGTGTGTATATGTGTGAGCTCTTTAAATGGGTATATGTATATATATGTTTCAATGGAAATGACAAAATAAAATTAGAGGTTTTGAAGAAATATTTCAGAAAGTTTTTTTTTATAAGTTTGTTTTGAAGAGTATTTAAAGAGATCCACTTCTTTAAAAAACTTATTATAAATTGACATTATACGTGCAAATATAGAGTTTCTACCATAATTTGTATTAAAAAAGGGTATTGAAAATAACGGTGTTCCACGCACACGACGGCGAGGAACATAGAATGTGAAGGAGTTAAGGATGCGTGGACTATCAATATTCCCTCTGACAATATCATACAGAAATGAGGCATCCAACAGTTTGCGACGTTGGTCCAAAGTGAGAAATCTATAATATTTGCAGCCTTCTTCATAGGTCGGAAATCTATTCTTCCGCTTAAAGTTAAGGTATTTAACAAAACGAGATTGCACCTGTTCTATTCGATCCTTATAAATTTGGTAATGAGGTGACCATATACAACTAGAATATTCCAAAATGCTACGTACATAAGCAAAATATATAGACTTCAAACACTGTATGTTATCAAAATGTTCACAAACACGTTTTATAAAACCTAAGTGTTTGAATGCTTTAGTCACAACAATATCCACATGTTTGTCCATTAAGAATTTGTCATCAAAATATACACCGAGATCACGTACAAGATTGACACGATGGACAGGGACATTATCTATGGCATAATGAAATACAATAGGAGTCCTACGTCTAGTGAAACTAATAACTTGACATTTGTTATGGCTTATAGTTATTTTATTTCTTTTATAGAAATTACTTAGCGAAATCAGGTCATTTTGCAATTTATAACAATCCGAAGTATTTTTTATAATACGGTAAATTTTTTTATCATCGGCATATAATAAATGTTCAGAATTATTAACACATGTGTAAATATCGTAAAGATAGGCATTGTAAAATAAGGGTCCCAGATGTGATCCCTGAGGAACACCAGAAGGGACATCAACAAAATCCGATCTAAAACCTCCTAATACAACTGCTTGAGATCTATTAGAGAGATAGGAAATTATCCAACGAAGAAGATCACCGTGAATACCCAACTTATTCAATTTTTGTATAAGTATACCATGGTGTACGCGATCAAACGCCTTCTCAAAGTCAGTGTATACCACATCCACTTGTCCCCCGCTTTCCATATTTTTCAAAACGTAGGATGAGAAAATAGCTAAGTTGGTTGTGGTAGATCTAAACCTAAGAAAACCATGTTGATTATCAGTGATGTTGTGACTTACTGTGGGATAGATTACAGTATACACAATTTTTTCAGCGACCTTACTAAAACCATTTAGAATGGATATAGGTCTATAATTTTCAATTTTAGTTTTGGAACCTTTTTTGTGGATAGGTACAATAAGTGCTTGTTTCCAAATTGAAGGAAAAGAACCCTCCCTTAAGGATCTATTAATAATTATAGCAAAAGGTCGTGATAGTGCTTTAGCACATTTTACTATAAAATACGGATGTACTCCATCACTGCCAGCTCCTTTTGTTGCATCCATATTAGACATGATACGAAAAGCTTCACCTTCAGTAACCTGTACTGATTGAATACAATCCATGTTACCAGGTAAAGGTATATCGTTATTTTCATTATCAATGGCTTCTGTTTCATTTAGGAAAACACTGTGAAAAAAGTCATTGAACCCTTTAACTATTGCAGCTCCCTCGGTAAAAATGCCAAAATTTGATGTTAAAGTTTGTGGGTACGAATTATTGGATCTTTTAGATTTTACGTAGGTCCAAAATTTTTTTGGATTCTTGGTGATTTGATCTTGTATGGAATTTGTATAGTTTTTATAGCACACCTTCTCCTCTTGATGGAACCTTTTTCTCAATAGTGAAAATGTATCATAATCTCTTAAGTTATTGGTTCTCCTCCAACGTTTGTGAGCCTTTGCTTTATCTTTCAAAATGTGTATCAGTGATTTATTATACCATATCGGATATTGAGTATTAGTTTTATGACATATGGGAATATTTTCCTTTATATTTTCATAGATTATATTATAAAAATTTTGAGTAGCTTCTTCAACTGTAATATTATTTAAAATACAATTCCAATCTTTTTCGAATAATGTAGTATTAATTTTATCATAATCGCCTTTATAAAATTTATATTTAGGTATGGAATTTTCTCTGAGAGTTTTAGACACAACATCACAACTATTAATCTCCAAAACTGGATGAAATGTGTCTTCTCGTACTAGAGGACAATTACACTTTCGCACTTCAAGGCAGAAATTGGAAAATACTAAGTCTAATACATTACCATGAGAGTTACTTAGAGTGTTATGTTGATTAAGTCCGCACAATGTCATCTCACTTATCAACCTTAAACCGGTTTCCTGTACTTCTATAGGTCCTTTCTTTAAAAAGATAGGACCATCATTATGCCATTCGATACACGGCAAGTTAAAATCTCCAATCAGAAGCTGTCGATCATTACTATAATTTGTGCTAAGATTATTGATCAAACTTATAATATTGTCAATGTCCCTAGACTGGCGCGGAAGACCACCTGCAATATAAGCTCCTCCAATGTGCAAACTGAAAGATGACCGACGTCCGTCGCATCCAATACTTCGCGAGGGTATCGTCAGCCAAACCGCTTCCGTAGGTGATACAGTCCATTCGGGTCGCGGGATAGCACATAAGTGACGTAAAGTGCAAATCAACACACCGCCGCCAGTAGTCTTGCCTGTAAGCACACGATCCCGATCACACCGGAATATATCATAGCGACTATCACAAAGTTCGGCATTGAAAACACCGTCGCATAACCAGGTTTCCGTTATTATAATCACATCATAATTATTTGATAAGATATTTCGGAATAATTCTGAAGTTTTAGTGCGCAATCCGCGCGCATTCTGATAGTAAATTTTTAAAGATTTTAATTCATCGAATTCTATAAAATTTCACTACAATAGTACTCACGCTTCGAACCGTTGTTATATCATAGTATGTGAATAATACTAAAGCTAAAACGTAAAAAGTACAGGCACATGACATGTATAATAATTTAATAAAAGTACATTTGTGCATGAAGTTCATAAAAAATATATATAATAAAATATAACATGTTATGCCTTTATAATTAATTGTTCTATTTATTTTAATGTAACTAAATCGAGTGATTACATCAGAATGTAATATTTTATATTGATTACACATCACTACTAGTCCCATTGTGTATCTGTGGCGAAAGGTTCCCCTCACTAATTCAGCGGTGCGAGTATTATTTAATGTCGGTACTTGCTTATTGACAATGCTATATAGAGGTTTATATAGTTTATCAAAGCAACAAGTAAATAGAAACAGAAATCCATTTAAAGTTCGATTTAAAACAATTATTTGATTATGTGTAGAAAGGAATAACGTATGTTGTTTATTAGCTATAAAATTAAAATGTAAATAATTGGAAAATTGTAAACAGTTATCGCATTCAAATATTAATAAATAAGAAAAATAATAATATTCAAGTTTAAAGTTACATATTAGAAAGAAAAGTGGTATTGTGTATGTTGTATTTAGTGTAATTATGAGTATAATTTGCACAGAAAAATAAAAGTTAACACCTGTCAGTTTTTTGTCGTGTGTGAATGTTTGAATGGTTATATAATTTAGGTGATAGATTCCTAATAAAAACATATATAGTTGATCGTTCGCTATTGTTATGAAACAGTACATTAACAAATCAATTATCTTAAAAATTGGAAAAGATAACAATTGAGATTTTTGACAAAAAAATGAACAATATATAACGATGAGATTTAGTACAGACATTTTTATGAAATTTTGGTTATGTCGGTATCGTTTCTCATCAATAAAGCCGGTGAATTTTCGTTTCGTCTTACGAAAATTTGACAGTTTTTTACCCACACAAATTTGTATAATTTGGTTTTAGCTTTATCTTTTACCTTTTTCAATAGCAATTTATTATTAACGGTCAGATGTTCGTTGACATATATACGGCGATCTTCGCCCGGAATACCCACGTCTTTAGTTTTAAGTCCACGAGTTCCTCGTAATCCAGAGATGATGTTGTCTTTATGCAACCGACTTTTTAGCTTTATAACGATGGTCCTGGGTCGTCCTTGAACAATCTGTCTAGGTTGAACACGGTTAGCATGTTCTATGTTATCCTTAGTTATAACCACTCCTGCATGCTGCGCAACCTTGACTGTCAGATCTTTTAGACATTCATTTTTTATTTCAGGTACACCGATTATTTCTAAATTAAGCATACGCTCTCTTTGTTGGTACATGTTAATTTCGTTTTTTAGCTGACCCACCTGGATATTTAAATTATGGACGTTTTCTTCCGTTTTAATGAAAGTTTTATTTGCCGATTCTAACTCACACACCCGCTTTTGCAAATCACACTGTAGGTTAGACTGGTATTCCATACTATCTTTCAAATCCTGTATGTCTTTAAGAATTTTAGTCTGGCATACCTGCAGTTTTGAAATTGTTGATCCGAGTTTGTCGTAATTTGCATTTAACTTATTCAATTCACCTTGCATGCCCAGGGTTCGTGTAGATAATGTATCGAGTTCACTTCTTATTACTGAATCGATTATATTGTTAATACTTGAAATTCCGGTATCCATTTCTGATTTCCAGGTGTTCATTTTTTCGAGAAGTTTTTCAGATAATCTCTCAATTTGTTCACAGACAGAATCTTCTGGTTGTTTTCTTTTTCGGGATGCGAATCTCACTGCATTTTCAGCAGTTAGGTCTGGATTTGATGAATACTTTGTGGGAGTTCTCTGCACCGACATGATTATGATATATGATGATGGTAGCAACAGTAGTCACTGGGATTTGTGAAATATTTATTATTACAATATTTAAATTTACTTAATTTGATCTAATTTATATTAATTAAACGTATTTATAATATAAGAGTATAAAAATTCAAGCTTTAGACAACGACACGTCCGCCCGCCACGATTGTAGGGTAGAGAAAAAAACATAAATATATAAATAAGGCATAAAATTATTTTTATTGTTTTCCTCATATGAAACAGACACCAATAGTTATTATTATTGATACTAGAATTTGTAATGTCTTATTTTGGACCATAATTGTGGTCAAAACTGGATCCCATAACTAAGTTTATTTTTTAAGATGTTCTTTGATAAATGATAATTTCAAAAACGATACTAGTTAGAACATCATTGTATTTTTTTTTTTTTTGTAATACTCACACATACCTTTGTCAACTGTAATTATTTCAAAATTTTTATTTCAGTAACTTCAGAGTTAAGAGGTAATGGTTTTTTCTCACATTTTCGATAGTAACTAAAAATCAGCATACAAATAACTTAAAATGTGTTTTAAAATGTGTAAACTGAGCCTTTTCATACGATACCCTACTTGGACTAGCAGATCATTTTCAAAAATTTTAGTATCCGTTTTGGACCTCATAGCCAATAAAATAAAAAAAATATTCAATTATTTCCATTGCAATATAATGGAGCAGACCAAGAATATGAAAAACTATTTCAAATTTCTAACCAATAGAATTAGTAGTTACTGAGATATAATGCTGTGACAGACGGACAGACGGACAAAGTCGCACCGTTAGAGCTCCTTTGTACCTCTTAAGTATAGAACCCTAAAAAGACAGAAAGAGATAATAAATACAATATTAATATATATTTACACAAGTGTTTGAAAACTATTTATAGCAGTGGACTTGGTTAAAAGTTGTGACTTTTCATGTATTAGTGAAACTAACTGAATTTATAAATGCTAGTATCTATACTAGCTACAACTTGGAGTTCTGACCACGTGATTAATCACAGTCATACTTAATTTATTGAAACTGGTGACTATTCCATTTAAAGTCGTTTAATCATTTAATAAGAAATATAGTATTTTAACATACATATATATTTAACCCCACATTATATTGTTAGTTGTTTTATTGTCTATAGACAATATCTATATTTAGATCAAATTCGAACTATTTTGTATTAATGTAATGAATGCGTTTGTATGTTTGTTTAAACAACATCTATTTATTTCGTATGACTGAGTTATATAGTAAATATTAAATAATTAAAAATTAACTCAATATTTCAGAATCATTTAAAACTATTTTTCACAAGGAAGTTTTCAAACCGCTTTTTAATATTTTTTCAGTTTCCTCGACTTCAATGTACAATAAAAAAAAGTAATTGATCCTATTTACAAGTGCAAGAATAATAAAGTACGATAACATACCGGTTGCTTGAATTGAAAATATAATTTTATTCATTATCGTGTCTGCAATGTACTTAATTACAATAAATTAATTCTTTGTATTCTATGTAAAAAACAAGATACAATTGACGTAGTCTAAGCTGTAATGACTGTGGTTATAATACATGTTTAAAACGTCCAAACCTTGTTCAATAAAAAAGATATAGGTATAATAAAAGCGTTAAAGTCTAAGAAACGTAATGACGACAGCTTAGTTGTCTCAATGGATGATGAGAATAATTTGTAATTTTGTTGCTCATGTTAGCGAAAATAACTAGCACATTTAAATCATATTTCTATTATGGGATTCTTACTAATATTACGAATAAGAAAAAAAGAAATAGTTTGTTATCTCTATGCGCTTTTCCCGCTTAACCAATGATCATATTGTAGTGTGGGAAATATATAGTAATAGTTTACGACTACAATATATATATATTAACCCAATAATGTATATATTACATATCGTTTATCCAAAAGATATTTAATGTCGAAATAAAGAACCCGGTCGAAATAAATATAATTATACGACTATATCGAAATGGGTAATGACCTTTTTCCGCCGTCGATATCTATATATCGGAGCGGTACAGATATTACCCTCGCCTATCATATTACATATAAATTAAATATAGTAGTATTAAGAGTAATAGGTATATAGTAGTGGTAAATAGGTAGTAAATAAAGGATATTAATCATTATTATGCTGGTCCCGCGGATAGAAGTTACGGGTAAAAACTATAATTTGTTTTAACAGAAATTAATGAAAATAATAACTAACTTATAATTAACCAAGCCGTAAGATAGTCTGCTGATATCCAACAGTGATACAAATAAAAAATCGATTAATTGAATGTTACAATTCGTTATTAATTTTATTTAGAAAGTAATTATGTAATAATTTCAACAAAACTTAGTTAACTTTTAATAATGTGTGATTGTCGCCTGTCTAATACCAGTAACGTTACGTTCAAAACTTTGACGTTATACCTACTAAATTTCATGGCTTTTTGTATGCGAAGTTAGACACTGACGCCTATTGTGAAACATCATTCTCTAAATTTACGTACAAAGTTCAATAATTGAAGAAATAATTTTAGAGAAAATCAGAACCAGTTCCATAAACTCAGTTTGATATATCAGCTTGATATATTTAGGAGAGTTAATTAGAAAAAACTTTTTATAAAAGGTCTCTATGTTTTACCGTTGCACGGTTCAGCACGGCACCATTTGATCGTCACTATATATATCTAATAGTAAAACAAAATGTATGCAAATGTATATGATATATAATTATGATATTTTAGGCGACTTTAAAAAACAGGAGTTTCTTATTGCGCCCGTATTTTTATATCTTTGTTAATTTTACTCCAAAATAATAATTTGACGATTATTTTGCCATCGATAAAGTTTACGTCCATGTTTGTATTATCTCTTTTGCAAAATTAACGTTATATGAGAACTCAAAGTAGATGATAAAATATTATTAAAATTTAAGGGTTTTCTCTGCAAAAAGAAACAAAAAAAAAATTAAAGATCATCATATTAACTCAGTAGTTGCTACAATAATACGATTATTTCATGGGTATAAATCATTGGCTTCTTTGAAATTATTTTCCAGAGTGGACCTGGCCCCTTTAAGGAGGTTTTACACCTTACTTCTTTTGTACTATCAGATATATCTCTGTGAAGCTTGGCTCGGACACTGTCCACACGTCCTCCATCCCTACCACCCTATACCTATACATCTATGGTATATACGCTTATCTTACTAATATAACAAAATTGTAATTAGACGATGTTTGTACATCGGAAATATTTAATAAGACCAATAAATGTCAAAACAATAATTTTCAGAAATTTTGTATCTCTGTTTGTCACGGCGTCACTCAAAAACTACTGCACAAAATATATACTATATGCATTTGCGATTTTCACAGTTGCATTTGTAAAGATCTTATTTAAAATCTGGTCTTACTTGAAACGCCATCTAGATCCACTTCTAAAATCCACGCGTACGAAGCAGCGGGCAAAAAGCTAGTAATGGAATAAATCTTCTCGTAAACACAACTGATCGTTTATTCATCAAGCTTGCGTAGTGGGTATTTTTGAGGTCACTCGGACCCAGTGTCAATAACTAGTTCTCATTGAATATAGTAATCTTAAGTGTATTGGTTTTTATACGCATGCCTATCTATATGAGTACAGTCATACCTACCGACTATTTAATTAAACCGCTTAAGCACTATCTATTAAGATTTACGATCTTCATTCAATTTAATGGACATTAAATTATTTAGACATCGATCTTTAATTTTTGAATATATATATATATATATATATATATATATATATATATATATATATATATATATATATATATATATATATATATATATATTCAAAATAAGTTAATAACAATGTTAGCAAAGGCGAACTTATCTCTAAACGAAATTTCTTCCAGTCAACCTAACACAGTGGCATATGAAGTAGTGGGTGGGCAGTAGTAGTGCAAAACAGAAATTAAAATAAATATTTACATAAATTATAAATCATTATATATAATCCATTGTTTAAAAAAATATCAAGCTAAAATCAATACAAAATAAGCAGATCTAGATTGATCTATCCTGGTTTCTTATCAAATAAATTTATGTGTCAATATCTGTGCGGTTGTCGAAATTGTAGTGATATCCATCTTTTAAATGTCGCTTTTTTCATATGTCTCATTTATGTTTCTATCGTAAAGCAGTTATGTCTGCATGGCTGTATTTTGGTTCGAAGGGTGGTATAATTCGGTTTGAAGTATGGCAATGAATTTAGAAGGTACAGAGGAATAACACCTGAGTCCTCAGGAATGGCAACGCATGGGGGGTATCATGGGCGAAACAGTATACTCTATTATGTCCATGGCACTGCTTATGTCTATAGGCGACCGTTACCACTTTCCATCAGGTGGGCCGTCAGCTTATTTGCCATTCTAAGTAGTATAAAAATCATGTGTCTCATCATATCTTTTTTAATAGGTACAGTTATTGCGAATATATTTTAAAATAAAAGTAATTTAGCCACTTTAAAATTTTAGCCATAAAATAATGAAAAGATGGTTTAAATGTGTGTAGGCGTTAAACAAACAGTAAATAATGAAACACGAAAATTATTTACTGACGTTCGTGTACCTTTTTCCATGTTGCTATATTATAGAAAAAAGATATTTAAATGTGTACATAGGTGTTAAAATTATTGTATTATAACTTAATACTTTAGCCACGCCACCGGCCTGACCAGAGAGGTATACTCTTTACTGTAATTTGTACAGATACGATATTGTCTATAATTTAAAAACTTATACTATATTAAAGTGTTGAAATATTTGTTCATAAAGATTGATTTATAAAATAGCTTATTTTATTCGATTTATCGAAATACCTTACTATCAAAATAATGGTTTTAAAATTTAAGTATGAATTATTGATTACTATAAAATTTAAGAAATACGATATTGTTTTATAAAAAAAAAATCTTTAATTGAGGTAAAAATAGTACGAGACGAATACGATTGTAAACCCTATATTATATTATTACATTTAGCATTATGAAATTTCGGTTGAGAAGAACGGGAAAGAAACTTTTATTTTTTTTTTTAACAAAAATAAAGTTAGTATACAATAACAAACTTCATATTGA